TCCCTTTACCCGTTCGTCTCTTTTTTCCCCCTCCACCCTCTTTGCCCCTGCCTCTCTTGGGATTTAATAAAGTGACCAATGAGATCCCACTGCAGCTGCTGCCATGGTGATAGGCGACAGTGGGATGCACCACCCAAGATGAATGGACCGTAAAAGTAGAGGGACAGTGGTAAAGGGTGTGTAGAGGGTGGGGAGAGGCTGGCTAGTCTGGATGGAATAAATAAAAGAAAGAAAAGGAAAGGAAGTAGCAGGTATGTGACTAATTTCCTCGTGCACTGACCATCCCTGATCATTAGATACCGCTCTGGGCTGCAATGAAGGCCTCCTTCACTGATTGAATCAGGATCAACCTGAGAATGAAATGTGTAATTTTCTTAGCATTCAATCTGTCATTGCCTTGAATCATTCAAGGGTTAGGGTTAGGGGGTTAGGGTTCAATGCTTTTTGCCCAATAAACACAGAGGTCAGTGACCTCTGAAGCCATTTTTAGATTTTGCTTCTCACATATGAAGAACGCAGCAGCGTCAGAGGTTTTCACAATCATGGTGGGATGTCTGCCTCATTGAGGTACAGGGTGGTGTGCGATTTACCAATCTTTCCAAGTTGACTTCTTCTGTGTGTGACACCTCTTTTTCATCCAGAGATATTGGGAGGAAACTTAGCTGTTCAAATGTGGTTACACAAAGTGATCGATTAACCTCACGTGCTTGGTTTTGATTAATTGTCCAGTCCGGACTTTCATCGTCAGATACAGTTTGCGCGCTGTAATCTATATTGTGTTTTAACCGTGGATCACTTTATAAGCTAACCTCTTAATCAGGGATAATGTGAAAGGCCTTTGGTTTGACAGACACATAAAAGATAATTCACATAGCTTAAGTCAAAGGGTATGAGCTTGCCAGATGGCTACTTTTATTAGCTCTGAGTACAGGCTGCTACTCAGTGTTACCCACATCAATATCACAGTTCTAGGTGTAGTGGATTGCCTTTGTATGAAATTGACTGTCAGTTCGATTAGCTATGAGTCAGTAATCCCTCTGCTACACTTACATTTCTATAGTCTGGAAGAAGTGCTGACACATTTCTTCATCATTTCCTATCTCATGACACAAAACCTGCCCATGAATAATCATCTATTCACGTGGACTCATCTACTGAGTGTCTTCCTCTGTTTTTTACTGATTTTCTTTCTCTGTCATTTTGAAATTAAATATTTCTCCAGAGCTGATGAGCAAGTGTTGAATTTGTGCGAACATCTGAGCTCCAGCGTTAAGTGAAAACCCTTTTATCCTCCATTTAGAAAAAAGGCCTTGACGTTAACTAGGTGTGATGAACATCCCACATTTGTCTGGTGGTGGCGCACTCTTTGTAGGGTAAACCTTTTAAAGTGATTTCCCATTAAGTATTTTGTGTTGCTAGAGGAGTGCAAGTGTTGCTCATTAAGCCTGTTTGTCCATGCAGTAAACTGCTCGTGATTCCATCTTGTTCTCTTGTTAAATCTCTCTCTTTCTTTCTCTGTCTCTTTTGTTTTGCATTTTCTCTCCCTGTCGGAACCAAGATGACGGGTAAGCGTTTTCTCACAGGAACTTGTGAGATCACGTCATATGTCACCATGTCACAGTAGAGAATGGAAACCTCAGTGGACAAATGAAGCATATGAATGTGTATGTGTGTGTGTGCATACATTATGTGGGCGCTTGTGTTTGCCCGCGTGTAGAGAAAAATCTCCCCCAACTTATGTCCAATCGGCAAAGAGGTTTGCTGCAGTCATTAATCACAGTGAGACAGTCTGAGGATTTTTAACACTGTTTACTTACTAATGATGTGCCATCGATATTTCAAGGAAACCTAAGTGAGCTTATTATATATTGTAAAGGAAAGAGAAGTCATCCTACCGGCCGGGTCACACTCATCTGTTGTTCACAGGCAGCGTGTCTGTTGCTTGTCTGCAGCGGAGGAGGGTTCTGGAATGAATACTGTGCATCTTCTGGTCCTGCAATAGCAATAAAACCTTGTTAAAACAAATTTATGGATTGAGTCAACAGAAAAGCTGGAGTGCTTCTACTTTGAAATGGGTACAGGAAGTGTTGCAGATATTTAAGTTGTGTCATATCCAAAAGATAAACATTGAAACTGTGGTGAAAGATAAGCTTGGGTGAGTCCTTGACTCTCTGGGAGAGCAGTGCAGCTCATGTGCCTGAGACGCACCTGAGATGTGCTGCTCACACAGGAGGTGTGGACACTATAACTCAAATGAAACAATAACAAAAGACCTAGTTTGATGACATTATGAAGCAACATTGGATCATTGAAGTTGTCTTCAGCACCACTGCCGGTGAAAATCTACCTGACGCAACTCTGGGGAAGATCATCTTCATGGATGAGACAACGTATTAATGTTTTATTCACATTACAGAGCAAACGGCAGTGAATAATCGTGGTCCATCCAGTGACCAATACAAACAGTGGAAGGAAAAAACACGACACTCATTTGCCCCAGATGTTATAGCAGGGAAAGTCAAAGTCATGTTTAAAGCGGATATGACGCATAAAAGTCAATAATTCCTGTAGCTTTTGGTTGAAACCTCTAATTGCTTGGAGCATAACCTCAAAGCATCCAATTTTTTTTTACATGATTCATAAATCTCAATTTGAGACCAATATAGGAAACTGTGAGCATCCCTGCCATATTGAAAGTCCACCCTGAGGAACCCAGGTTGGCAGAATCAATATCATCACTTAACACCTTTTTCTGTGTGCTTTTATGTTATGGTGCTTTGAGGGTTGGAGTGACTGATCATTCTCTTTCATCTCCTGCTGGATTGTATATGAATCCATACTTTTCCCCTCTTGTGGTCCATTAATCATTTGTCTTCTGAAAAGTCATATAAAAATTATTTCAAATATTTGACCTTCAGTTTTAAAACTGGTCGTTTCTCTCTCTGTCATCTTTCTTCCAATACCCCCTGAAAGCCTAGTTTCACGCATTGTTTCTTTTTACCCACTGTTGGGACAAATCTGTTCTCCGTCATCCTCAGAAATAACTCATGACCCTCTAAGTAGGATGAAAGTTTTTTTTAAAAAGACAACACATTCCTTTATTGAGAAGATTAGGGAGGAGAGAAGCCTTGAAAAAGCCTTGGAAAAGGGGTGGATGAGCACAGTGGGGGAGGGGAATGAAAACAGTGTGAGCTCGCCTGGCAGATACACTTGTCATCATCCCTGAGCGAGTGTGTCTGTGCTTTGTGTTGAAGAAGCTAGTGTACATGCTTGGCAGAGAGACAGACAGAGCTATGATTAACTGATTTAATTTTTCTTTGCCTCCCTGTTTATCTTCTCTCTTTTTCTCTGTACACCTGCACCCCAGAGACGTACTAAATGTACACTTACTGTTCTCATGAAGTAAACTAATGAGGTGAATACGTGTAAATAAATTGTGTTTGGATTTCTGGTATATAATCCATGTTAATCCCAAATGAGGGAATGTTTTAAAGAGGAGTGACTCTATTCGAAGAAGATTTGATTGTATTTATATTTGAATGATTAGAAAAAGTTTCAGGGAAAATATGATTACTTCCTTTGTTGCTGCAGCTAACGTGGTTTAGTACATGGACAGGAAATGAGGAAATGGCTCTGCCTGGCGCAACAAAATCTTCCAGCCAACACAAATTGTCATATCACAATTATTTATTATACATTAACAGCTGTGTTTACCATGGTGGTACATCAGTGGTTAAACCTCCTTTATCACGACCATCACAGGATGTGAAAAATATCAGCACACACTGGGTCAATAGATGATCCCAAACGGGAAGGAATGGAAAATATACACACATGTGTGGGTGATGGAGTGACTGGGAGGAAAGACAAAAATCTGGGCTGAGACCTGGCACTTTGTTTGGGTTTGTATCACGGTATCATCACGCCCACACCTCATTCAGACCACTTTAAGTATGGCTTAGAAAGAGGTGCGTGTTCTCATTCTTTCCTTTTAGGGCAATTGATGCCCCCATTTAAGCAACCTCCAAGATGAATCACCTCAACACAGCTTTTTAGTGGACTCTCTCTCTCTCTCTCTCTCTCTCTCTCTCTCTCTCTCTCTCTCTCTTCAATGCATCCATTGCTGGGCCACTACCGAGAATAGAATTCCATGCCCTACATTTTTTATGGATATGGTCAATAATCATGTTTATTCTTCGGTGACGGCAACACTGCAAACAATACAGGGCGATATTAAAAGAAGCAGATGTCAATTAAAGTCTAATTAGTGAATTAACAAGGCCTCATCATTGTCATGGCCAGTCAGTCACATCCATCACAGTCCCTCCCATAACGAAAACCAAAGATGACACCAGAGAAACATGGTGGGAGAGGTAGTTCCCCTCAGGATTTCTGTGCTGATAGTTCTGGACCTTTTTAAGGGTCATTTATGCTCAACACTAGATAGGGTTAGATGATGGACGATGCCATAGTCCACCCACACCCTGGTTCCATTCATGTTTTTGCTGTTGGTGTCTAATGTAAAAGAATTGGGCCTCAGAAGCACAACACTGCAGCCTTAATGCCATTAGCATGGCTGAGTGGGCAGGCAAAGTGCTGAGGTATGTTAGTGAAACAGATGAGGCAACATGGCCGTTAGCAACGTCAGAACATTTCTTCCCGGTGGTTTACTTGCATATATATATATATATATCTCCTGGATTCTGTTTGATCATCGTCCTCAAACTGTATTCCTTCTTTGCAAAATGCCATTACTTATCCTTCAACCAACATCATGTTCTGTCATCTCTCTGCCGTCTATACTACTGCCTCCCTCTGCTATGATAATTCTCATGCTGTTAGCAAAACAGTAAGTAAAGTAACTGTCACTCTATTGATGTTGTTTTAAACATCAGAATCACAAGATCTGTTAAAGAATTTGTGCACTAATTACATTTCTTTTATCGCTTCTCCTCCCCACCCCCTCCTCTGTCTCCTTCCTCTTCATCTGACTCCTGTAGTTAGTGGTGTTGCAGCAGAAGGATGCCGCTGGTGAAGCGCACCATCGAGCCCAGGCACCTGTGCCACACGGTGCTGCCGAGGAACATCAAGAATGAGCTGGAGTGTGTGACTAACATCTCCTTGGCCAACGTCATCCGCCAGCTCAGCAGCCTCAGTCAGTAGCATAAGGACACACACACACACACACACACACACA